CCATTTCTCATGAGAAGACCTCCTTTTTAAACACCGCAGTACACCGATGTTATAAAAGTTGTACTTCCCATCACTGTGGTCCACACAGCAGCTTCCTGTGCCGGTTACAGCGACACTAATACAACTTCATGATCATCATGCACTCACACCAATGCGACAACTTGAAATTTTAACTTGCACACTCTCACAAAAAGGTCGCAAATGCAACCATTTTGGTCGCAGTTTGGAGCCCTGACTTAATAAGGACGATTAATTTGACAAAGAAGAAGAATAAATAGAAAACCATGGATACACAAAGAGTATATTTAAATTACCAGTAAGTACAGTAATATTGTGCCTGTATTCAGCCTGTTATTGTAGAAACGGAGGCTAACAAACACACAATGTAAAAAAAAAGAAAAGAAAAGAAAAGAAATCTGCGTATACTTTCTCTGGAGTTTGTGAAGAACTACTTGCATTGTGTAAATTCCTGAATCTACTGTAAAATTATTCTCTCCAGTGAATGTAAAAGGTGTTGTTTTTTTTTTTGTTGTTGTTGTTGTTTTTAATTGACCTACCTTGTGCTTGCTCATGTCTTCAGGAGGGCGTTACATTGAGGTCTTTAGTGTGGATGGCTCTGGGAGTAGAGGCAAGAGGGACAAAAAAGACAAAGAAATTGACAGAAACTTCACCAGGAAACTCAAAGAGGATGAGGAGGAGGAAGATGTTTCAGAGTCAGGTCGACTCTTTGTCAGAAATCTCCCCTACACCTGCACAGAGGAAGACATCAAAGAGCTATTCACTAAACACGGTGAATTAAGAAACACATCAACCCACATGGCACAAGTTTTCTCCTGCAAAAATAAATGGACTTTTATGCAGATGTGTTATAATGTCCTCATCTTTACAGGTCCTTTATCAGAGGTGCTCTTCCCTATTGACAATCTAACCAAGAAGCCTAAAGGGTTTGCTTTTATAACCTACATGATACCAGAGAATGCAGTGTCAGCTCTCGCTCAGCTAGACGGACATATATTTCAGGTATTTACCTCAGAAATCTCTGTCCTCTAGATCACATTATATATTTCTCTCAGTGGACGTATATCCATCTCTGGATTTGGTAGTGCAACTTGATGAAGTCTTGATTCAGTGGTGCAACTCAGCTGTTGAACTGAGGCTGATAGAAAACATGATTTTTTTTTTCTCACACCTTTAGGGTAGAATGCTTCACCTCCTTCCCTCCACTGTGAAGAAGGAAAAGACTGATTCCTCGGATTCTGGTGGTCCTGGCTCATCATCCTACAAACGGCAAAAAGATGCTAAAAATAAAGCTTCAAGTTCCAGGTATACATGATCAGATTGACCCTCTGCTTCTCCATGTGTGTTGTTGTTGTTTAGTTTTTGTAACATACACATGATTTTTGTCATCTTCCTTCTAGCTCACATAACTGGAACACCCTGTTTCTGGGTACAAGTGCAGTGGCAGATGCCATTGCTGAAAAATACAACACCACCAAAAGCCAAGTCCTGGACCATGTGAGTTTTACTTTACATCCAGTTTTCTTTTATCTGCTGCTTGTGTCTTGCGTCTAGTGCTATTAGAGTAGCCTGTGAATTATTAAAGACAATACACACAGAGCATTCAACTTCTCTGGCTGTTGCTCTCCTCTGCAGGAGTCGAAGGGAAGCGTTGCAGTGAGGATGGCTCTGGGAGAGACACAGATTGTCCAGGAGACCCGACAGTTCCTGCTGGACAACAGTGTCAGTCTGGATTCCTTTAGTCAGGTGAGTTTCATATAACATTTATTTTACTTCCAGCTAGACTCTCCTTAATCCAGATGTGTGGATCATTCTTTGCTTCTACCCCTTCCTCTACAGGCAGCAGCAGCAAGAAGCACAACTGTGATCCTGGTGAAAAACCTTCCGGCTGGAGTGACAGTGTCGGAGCTGGAAGAGCTCTTCTCACCTCATGGCTCTTTGGGCCGAGTGCTGCTGCCGCCCTCAGGACTCACCGCCATCATCGAGTTCCTGGAGCCAACGGAAGCAAAACGAGCCTTCACGAGGCTGGCTTACAGCAAGGTGTGTGTAGCTTTTTTAACCTGTCTGTGTAGTATGTGTTGAACAGTGACACTGAAGACCTATTGTTGTATTTATTTCTAACCACAGTTCCATCATGTCCCGCTGTACTTGGAGTGGGCGCCTGTCGGGGTGTTCGTGGCAGCCAAACCAGAACCAGGTAAAATCTGTCAAACACTCATAAACCTAACAGTCTTTTTAGGGTTGTAGTGCTTTGTATACATGAAAGCGGTATTATAATAAAAAAACAACTGAATCTATTTGATCTATCTAACCAAGTATTAGACAAAGAGGAGGCAGTGAAAGAGGAGAAGAAGGAAGAGGAGGAGGAGGAGGAGGAAGAAGAAGAGGAGGAATCTGTCCCAGGTTCTACACTTTTCATTAAGAATCTAAACTTCAGCACAAAGGAGGATAAACTACAAGAGGTAGGTCAATTCATATGTTCAACTCTGTTATATTTAATCTCAGTTATTAACTGTTAAATCACAGACTGATGTTTAATGTGTTTTATATTGTTTTCTTCATTTATTGCAGACTTTCTCCAAATGTGGCAAAGTCAAATCCTGCACCATTTCCAAGAAGAAAGATAAAACAGGTACGCTCATGATGAGGATCACTCATGTAAAGAGGGATTGAACATTGACTTTGAGGGTTTTCAATTATAAGGATTTGTTTTTTTTAATTTGATTTGAAACTGTTTGACATTCTTTATATTTACAGAACTGAGTCCTTGTTGAGATTTAAGAATGATTTATATTTCATTTGATATTTACTTTTTGGATATTTTATTCTTATTCTTATTTTTGTGTATTCATACCACCACCTCTCACAATTGACATTACTTTTTTTCTGAATGGTGGCAGAGAGACTACAAATGAGAATTTGTTTGCTAAAAGAAAACAGCGTGACCTGATACTGCACCATGCTGAATGATTTGACAGTTTGATTTATGATATAGTTTTTGCTGTGGTTCAGTATTCATTGTGCGATACATTCAAAGCATGCGGTGGAGCATTACCACGAGATGCTATCACAACATAACTGTCACACACAGAGGCCAGCACGGGCATGAATTTGTAAACCGCCTGAGACAACTGTTTAAATCCTGTCAGACACACTACATAAAGCACATCCTAAACTGCAGTCGTTTTGATTTTCTAATTTAGTTGTTTCAAATTTCAAACAAAAATCGATTATTCAGCCTAACTTCCCTCTTGCAGTATTTTTATTCAGGTTCTTATTACACGTGCACATGCTGCTGTCTGTGTATGTCCCACATTAACATGCTTCTTACTTTGACTTGCAGGTAAAATGCTGTCCATGGGATACGGTTTTGTCCAATATCAGACAGCAGAGGCAGCACAGAAGGCTCTGAGGCAGCTACAGGTACCAATAACATGTCCTCAGTTAAACTCTCACAGCCTTTTTATACAACCTGCTTTTTGTGTAATGTGTGTCCTCTTTCTCTTCCAACCCTCCTCCAGCACTGTACTGTGGATGATCACCAGTTAGAGCTAAAGATCTCTGAGAAAGCCACAAGGTACGATGTAAATCAGAAGGTGTTGTGAAGAAGAATAGAAACCTTAGTGCATTATTTAGATTGACTCTAACTCCACTGGAGGAAACAGGCACTAAAACAATAAACATTGTATGTGCTAAAATGCACATGAAAATATATGATGATTATTTCGTTATGTTAAAATGTTAATTGTAAGATTTGTCAGGCACAATTCAGATTGCAGTTTGCCATGTAAACTTCACTCCTGATGTCATTACTAACTCGGTGGTTTCATCCTGTGTGAAGAACAACTGAGGTGTCACGCAAGAAGAAGCAGGTTGAGAAGAAGCAGACGGGATCTAAGATCCTCGTGCGTAATGTTCCCTTCCAGGCCACCGTCAGGGAAATTCGAGAACTCTTCTGGTAACTGTCACATGTACACACATACTTCTGTTTTTGTATTCACACTGTTTGGAGAAAGTTCAGAGCAAAATAATTGAATACAATCATTTCTTCCTCATCTTCTCAGTACATTTGGAGAGCTGAAGACTGTTCGTCTTCCAAAGAAAGCAGCTGGTTCAGGGAATCATAGAGGCTTTGGCTTTATTGACTTCCTCACCAAACAGGATGCTAAGGTTTGTTTGTGATGTAGTTATTCTGTGTTCTTGGTAATATTAGCCATCAGATGTATATTAGAGAATGCAAAGTCTCCTAATGCTCAAGTATTGGAGACTGTACAGTGTTATGATTATAAACTGTTTTCCACTGTTTTCCCTGTAGAAAGCTTTTGCGGCGCTGTGCCACAGCACACATTTGTATGGGAGACGTCTCGTGCTGGAGTGGGCTGATGCTGAGGAAACTGTAGAGACACTGAGGCGGAAAACAGCCGAACACTTTCATGGTAAATCCGCCTTTCTAATTTTTCTTTTAAATACAGAAGGTGATTAATTTAATGAAAGAAAATTTGCTATGTATTCATTTAATTATTTTGTTTGTGTTAGTGTCTGCCAAAAAGCTGCGAAAAGCAGAAGTCATGGAAGGAATTCTGGAGACGATGGAAACCCAAGGAGGTGTGGAAGACTGAGGTCTCTAAAGCTCATCACAACTCTGACCAGTGATCCTGTGTTGTTCCGTGTGAACAGGACTGTGAACAAAATATGGACCTGAGGGACATCCGCTGGAGTAGAAATATTATTATAAATGTATGAACAAGTCCAAATTTTCCTCTGAATTTCCTACATCACATATGTTTTGTATAGAACGATACTTCAAAGAGACATGATGGGACTGATGTCAATTTTTTGTATAAAGTTTTATTCATTGTTTCAGAGCTGTGTGTCTTATTTTATATCTCATGTTGTGTTTGTGTTAGTGACTGGACGCTGGGTCTTTTATTTTGAAAGGGCGGTCAGATGACTTATCACTCGCGGTGTCATGTGACTTGTTCATGTTCAACATGGCGTCCAGGGAAAGCAGGCCGTTTGTTTTTAGAGGTTTTACAGCGAGTTTGAATGTTTTAGTAATTTCCGTCGTGCTGTGTTTGAGTGCGTGTGTTCGGGCTGAAATACGAACTGTTGTTATCGACAAACACACCGGACAGCTGTCGGTGCTGGACGGGTACCAGGAGGACTTTGTGGCCTGGGGGAACTTCACTGATGACATTAAAACATCAGGGTGAGTTAAAGGGTAACCGGTTATTTAACTGGTCTGTTTTTAATCTAACATGAAACACATTTCTTCAGTTGTCGGTTTGTGTTGGTCTGCCACTCCAAGAAGGAGGTTAGCTAATGTCACAATGAGGCTGCAGTTTGTCAATATGACCTGATTGTTTTTCCTTCTGTGTTGCTATAAATGCTTGGAACAACTTTCCTCAGCTAAAGTCAAGGTTCAAAAGTATGTTGAGGTGAACTTGTAACAAACAAAGAGGCAGATGATCACCTGAGAAGCTGTAACCTCAGTGTGTTTGCTATTTTTACTTGGTAATTGAGTTAAACAGTTAATAGAGTTCCAGATTATTTGCTGTTGACTGACTGAACAACAAGGCTTTGAAGTCAGCAGTCAAAGCAGAAGTTAAACATTTTAACGATTTAAAACCACTTTAAAGATTTTCGCTGAACTCTTAATTCTGTCTGACACCCGCTTACAAAGTTGTGAAACCTTTACTGAATTTGTTAACAATGCACAAAAGGTAGATTTTTGCACAAAGACCACATTAGATGATTAGATCAGGTCCGTAACTAAAACCACTGTACTAAGACTGACCCAATCTGGATTGCATTGTCCCTGAGAGACTGTGGACTATTTAAAACACCGTCTCTGACATGTGAAACCTTTAACTACAAAAACAGAGGTTTTCAGATCTCTCCAGATCTCCAGGTCTCTCTCTATATATAGATTGGTCAAATATGAATTAGATTACACCAGAGAGGCTAAACATCCTTCATACCACACTGTCTGATTTGTGAAACCTTTATTCTATTTGTCAACATGCAATAAAGACAGGTTTCACTTCCTTATTTGACCACATGTGACCAAAGTGCTTGCTCAAAGTGAATCTTTACATTTGTTGGGTTTAGCTTTATGTTTTTGTAATTTCTCCACGTTGATATGTCAAGTTCCTTGAGGTGACATGTCATGTATTGGCACTATATATATATATAAAACTATCCGTCCCCGTGGAGGGCTGGTGTCTATCCCTGCTGACTCAGGGTGAAAGCAAGGGACACCCTGGACAGGTCACCAGTCTATCACAGGTCTACACAGAGACAAACCCTCATGAACAATTTAGAATCGCCAATTAAACTGTTTTTGGACTGTGGGAGGAAGCCGAAGAACCTGGTGAGAACCCACATTGCACAGGGAGAACATGAAAGCTTCACACAGAAAGATCCCAGGCAATCTTCTGGCTGTGAGTCGACGGTGCTATCTCCCGAGCCAACGTGCAGAACAAAATAAAACTAAATTGAATTAAATTAACTGCAGAATCAGAAGCTAACTTCAGCATGATTTGAACTGCTCACTGCTCTGCTTTCATTTCATTTCATCCAATCTGTAATTTTTCTTGCACAAGCGATAGAAAAACAAACAGCGGAAGTGAAACACATGACAGAAGAGGTAAATATAACCAGACATTACTTTTAAGCCTGTGTGCAAAATGCTGGTCAAATGATAGTCATTAAAAAAAAGCAATTAAAAAAAGACTTCAGTAAAGGATAGTAAATCATCATGGGAATGTAATAACCAAATGACGGTCAAGGGCAACCTGTCACCTCAGAGGCATGTCTCGTTTTATAAAAGGGAAGCTGAAAAATGTATTCAGCAATGATTCCCAAGCTTCGATCCAAAGACCTTCAGATGGAACACATGCTCTTTTGAATCTGCACACAGATGGTTTTAGCGTTTTCATTTCCTCTTGTGTTTTTTTCAGCTGGTCTTTCTTGGAGATCACTACCAACAGCAAGTACAATGACAGTATCCAAGCTTATGCTGCTGGTGCAGTCGAGGCCGCACTCACATCTCAGGTCAGTTTAAACACCATCCAGTCAGAACTCAAAATGCTTTGCTTACTTTTGGATTTATTTAATCAAAAACTTTGGTGTATTGTCATTTTAGCTCATTTATAAGCACTGGATGAACACTCTGATGGGTTACTGTGGGCCCTTCAGTCAGTCCAGTTACTGTGAGCGCCTGAAGGCTTACATCACAGCCAATCTGCTGTGGGTTCAGGAGCAAATAGAGAAGCAGCCAAATTCACCCTACTGGTACCAGGTAATGACTGAGCCTTTACAGAATAAAGGAAATTCCTGGCATGAGGAACATGTTTAAAGTCCAGAAATGTCCGATGTTTCAGTGTCTGTTTGTGCTCGTCAGGTACGTCTGGCACTGCTGCAGCTGAAAGGTCTGGAGGACAGCTACAATGATGAACTTTCATTACCGGCAGGCTCCCTCTCCTTCAACCCATTTGGTTTCCTGTTAGTAGTCAAGTCCATTTTGTATTAACCAAACATGTTTCTTCTCGGTATGTGAGATTACAAACTTTGTTTCTTGCTGTCGTTTGTATGCTTCGTTGCAACCAGACTGTTCCAGCTGGGTGGGGATCTTGAGGACATTGAATCAGTTCTGAATAAATCCAGCCAAACTCGCCCCCTTGGATCTGGTTCCTGCTCTGCTCTCATTAAGCTGCTGCCAAACAACAAGGAGCTGCTGGTGTCACATGACACCTGGAACACCTACCAGTCTATGCTGCGCATCATGAAGAAATACATCTTTGCTTTTAAAGCGTCTCCTTTAGGTAGTTTACTGATGCAACACCGTCTCCTGTTCATCACTGCTGTAGAGTCCATTATGTTATTACACAAAAGGAAAAGTCTGACATTTTGAGAACTATTCCTCTTTGCTGTCTTGATGAGAGTTAGATGAGAAGATCAATACCACTCTGTATGTGTCTGTCCAGTGCGACTGAAGCTATAGCCAGGAGCTAGTTAGCTTTGCTTAGCTTAGCATAGAAACTTCAAACAGTAGGAAACTGTTGGCATCGCTCCGTCCAAATGTAACTTAATCTTGACTTTCAAGCAGTCTCACCTGGTTGCCTCTCAATCTAAAGGTAATGACAAATTCCAGGAAATAGTTTAGCACATTTAACCACAACACTTCCTTTTCTGTAAGGATTAAACACAGATTATTTGTGCTAATTAGTAAGTATTAGAGGTGCTGCTTGTTACCACCAGTGAGCTGTTTTCACCATTTCACTGCAGTCGGACTGAATTGGTTCCACCTCCATAGCTACAGAGCAGACACGGTGACGTCGATCTTCTAATCTAACAGCAAAAAAGAGAACAAATATAGTTTCTACAGTTTTTCTAAAAGATTTATTTTTAATAAAAAACACATTGTGGCTTTCATTTTGACCCCCCACAATACACTGTTCATGTCTATGATGTGTGAGAACAGGTTAGTCAGAATTATTATTAAGTGCTCTGATTTTTTTTCAGACAATTTTTTTCTTCCTGGAGGAACTCAGGCGTTCTCGTCTTACCCTGGATCTATCTTCTCTGGAGACGACTTTTATATCCTCAGTAGCGGCTTGGTGAGAACTTTTTGTGCTTTTCCTGAGAGAACTGAGTGCTGGATGAGAAAGAATAAACTGCAGAATGTGACTATGTTGTTATTTTTTATTACTGTTTCTAGTTCTTCATACATCTTTTGTCTGCAGGTTACATTGGAAACCACGATTGGCAACAGCAACCCTGCTCTCTGGAAGTTTGTTCAGCCGAAAGGAGCCGTCATGGAATGGCTGAGGAACATTGTTGCCAATCGACTAGCATCTACTGGCAAGCAGTGGGCAGAGATATTCAGCAAGTACAACAGCGGAACGTGAGTTTAACACACAAAAACCGGATGATATTACTTCAAACCAGCATTTGTTCCGATGTTATCGTCTGACCAGGTTCCAGGCTCTGCTGCTTTATGTCTTGTGTTTGAAATTACAAGATTAGATCAGATTTTTTCTGGCCTTGGACCGTCATGTGGATTGATAAGAGTAAAGGCTGTAGAGGAAGGCTGTTTATAGTCAGAAGTCACATGAGTGGTCAGTTCAGTGATACAGATTTGATGGGATCATCAGGCTCATCGGGAGTGTTTGCTGTAAAAATGCTTTGTGTGTGTGTGTGTGTGTGTGTGTGCTTTATAGGTACAACAACCAGTGGATGATTGTGGATTATAACCACTTCACTCCAGGAAAGACTGACATTAAGGAGGAGCTCTTTGTTGTGTTGGAGCAGATTCCGTAAGTCTTTGCACCCAAACTTTAATCAAAATAGATGATAAATTCCTTAAATTAATATTTACAAACGATTCACTTAAAATAACTGTCTCTTATCTTGAAATTCTGCAGGGGACTTACTGTTTACACTGATAAAACTGAGGAACTGCTGAAGAAAGGCTACTGGGCTAGTTACAACATACCGTAAGTATCCAGTCTGGCAACATTAGGTTATGTGTGTTAATCTATACTCTAGATTTCGTGTGTTCTGGAGTACTTCATACAACAATTTCCTCTGTTTATATCTGCTCATATGTAGGTACTATGTGGACATATTTAATGCCAGTGGCTGCAATGAGCTGGTTGAGAAGTTCGGCCCGTGGTTCTCTCTGGACCAGAATCCTCGGGCTCAGATATTCAGGAGAAACCAGACAGATGTCACAGACGTGGACTCCATGATCCGTCTCATGAGGTAAGGTCATGTGCTGAAATGATTTGCAAAAAACATATACGAACAGATTTTATATTTTTACAGGCTATAAAATAAAACTTTATTGATGAGATGTGCTGTCCCTCCTTAGATACAATAACTTTAAGGAAGATCCACTATCAAAGTGTGACGGCTGTAATCCACCTCAGAACGGGGAGAATGCAATCTCAGCCCGTTCAGACCTGAACCCACCTGATGGAACTTATCCGTTTGGCGCCTTAAGGCAGAGATCACATGGAGGAACGGACATGAAGGTTTTTAAATCTGATTACATTTTTTTTTTAACATCCTACATCTCTTTGCTGAGATGTTTAGCCATCATGCTCCTTGAATGTTTTCTGTGTGTTTGCTTCAAATGAAACAGGCTGTGAAAGAAATTTAAACTGAATCTGATGCATTATGTGTTCTCCTACACAGATGACATCCTACGAGATGTTCAGAGACTACGGCATGATGGCAGTGAGCGGGCCAACCTGGGACCAGGTTCCACCCTTCCAGTGGAGCACATCCCCCTATAAAGACCTGCTGCACATGGGTCACCCTGATATTTGGGCTTTCAAGCCTGTGAAAGTCACTTGGACGTAATTCTTATTGTACTGTATGTACAAGTGACATTGTAGATGTAAATAGTGGCAGCTGTGCTGTTGAATGTTTTGACAAAGGGAAATATACTAATCACTGATTGTCAGGAGAGTGATGACAATGTTCTGCAAGTCTAATACAGTATTGCACTGTTTACATACGGTTTGTTGTTTTAAATGCAAGACAATGTGACCAGGAACTAAGAATTCTTGGTTTAGAAAGTGGGCGCTTCTGCATAGATCAACATCAGATTTTTTGTTTTAAAGATTTTTATTTCTTGTGCAAATTCTGTGAAAATTTAAATTACACAGGTTTAAATTCCAGTGACTGACTGTGTTACTGGGTTGAAAATTGCTCCAAAGGTTTGCACCTCTTTTGGGAGAATGACCAAATACTAATGTTGATGCTGATGCAGATTTTCTGTAACAGTGACAGCAAATGTTCTAATCATGACTTAAATCATGTATTTCATGAATTTTTCTATTTTGGAATATTTTGAATATAAGCAATGCCCTGATCATTTTCCATGTCATTAAAAGTCATTTTGTGTTACAACTCAGATTTAATATTTGGTCACTACCAGGTATTAAATCGATAAAATTGTTTAAAGGTCCTACACACCTACACATACTTCAGTCATTCTGGTTGACTGGATCTCCAGTGGATCAACCAAACATTTTTTTAAATCTGATTTCCCCCTGGGAAGGTGTGAGTCAACCACAGAAGATCATCTCAGCTAAAATAATGTTTTATGAATGTCCCCTATCGCAATAGCTTTTTTTTATATATGTAAAAAAAAATGTATTTTATATATTTATTTTGTCTTTCAAAAACAGGCAGATCTCATAACAGCACAGTAAAGAAATTAACAGGTTTTTTAATAGTATCCTCTGATACATAAATTCAAATAAAAGCCATGACAATAAATAAATGTTTATATATGCACACATAGTATATCTACAGTATACATAAGTTAAAATTGACTACAAAAATAAAACCAGAGGATTAAAACAAGTAGATAAGACTAGAAAGACAACAACACAAACACCTACACATAAAAGGTGGCTTTGAATAGACTTAAGTTTCGGGGGACCCAATGAAACACACAGTGGCCATCGATAACAGCTACTGTTAAGGAAAGAATTCAAATCATATTTTGTACAGCTTAAGTATATGTAATTATATTTGTGTCACAATCCTGAGCAAAGTACATTTTTAGATTTATGACTGCTCAGTGCAAGACTAAGTTTCTGTTTATCACCTCTAGGAAGCAGTCTGGACTGCTATTTATTATTGGTTATTTATTTGGGATATTGTGTTATGGAGAATGAACCTTTTCTCTTCAACAGCACCTGCATCTCTACTGCTGGACTATTTAATGGGCTGTGCACCTAAATTTAGTATTTAATAAAAAATAAACGAAAAATGAAAATAAAAATTTGCATTAACAACTTATGAAATATGCCAGTCGCACTCCAACAAAAGCTAGTTGGCAAATCTGGCCTAGCTCAAATGTTTTGGTCTGAAGGCCCACCTTTACAAAAGATTATTTCTGTCGGTCAGAAATGAGGCTAATTCTTTCCCACTGTGATAATAATGTGGAACATGCGCTAAGCATAAAAAGAAAGTGGGACGACCTTTCTTTGCCAGGGTCACGCATGTTGTATTTATGGTCTGCTGAAATAAATGGTGCAATTAAGAGGTTAAAGTCTAAAACTTTGTGGGCTGAGCCTCCAGGCTTCTGTAGATAGCTTTACCCAACACCTTCATAAGCTTAATAAGTCATTGTCAATGTCTTCTTCATTTTAGGCTTTGGCTTTCCACTCCCCCTCTTGTAAATTGTATCATGAGGTTAAAACATGTGATAAATCTTGTAGGCCTTTAGCTCAATAAGAATAGAATAAAATAGAATCATTTAATCATAATAAGCTTATTATTCGTAGTATTGTAACAAACTAGTGAATGCTATTTTCTAAACTGGGATGAAGAACTCACTTTTGTCCCCAAAAAACACACAAAAAACAAGTAAACATTTGGCTTAATTGGAATATTTTAGTAGCTGTCAAGGAAAGCGACCTTACAACCACGTGACAACATCCTGCTGTCGTCATAGCAGCGCGCAGTCGTAAACTGACGACGCTGTCGTGTCGTGTTGTCATATCGATGCTGAACTTTAAACTTCTTTATGTCGAGCTCCCGTTTGCTTACCGTCAAGAAACTGTATAGTATTTTAGAAAAACTGGCAACGTGATCAGAGGAGACCGTCTTAAGGTATGAAGTCATCTTTCAGCTAGCTAGTTAGTTAGCAACAGTCCATGAACAGTATCCTGTCGAGTTGTTTCTGTTGCTGAAGTGTCACATCTCCTGTTGAGCCTGTCTGTGTTTGGAGCCGTCCGTCTGACCGCATACACACGTTTTCTCTGGGAAGGTTGTTTCTGTGAGTGTAAAGAATGATATAAGTTTGTCGTTCTCTCTACAGAGTCACTCACTACGCATATGGCAGCCTAACCGTCTGAGCCCCAACTAGTTTTTGCGCGTTTCTTTGTTCCTGTCACAGTTTTGCTCACTGTGGGCTGAATTATTTCACTGCAGTATGAAGTCCTGCACCTCTATGGAAACAGCACAACCATCACCAAAAGTAGAGAGAACTCAAAAATGTCTTATCTGCAGTATGACACAGTTATAATGTCAGACATCATTTTATAAAGAATATATTTTAGAATGCAAGCCATTCAATGTAAAAAATGTCTCCAGGTGTGACCAATACTGGAAAAANAAAATGTCTCCAGGTGTGACCAATACTGGAAAAAAGTGGGGGCTCAACATGCTATAGATGTTTCACCATTTGTATTTTTACAGACTCAGTGGTTTACACACAACACTGCACATCAGCTCTAGAAAGATATTTCACCATGCTGAATGTATCCCCCAACAACTTGCTTCTCTGTATACCATTTATGAGTCATCCATCCATCCATCCATTATCTATACACCACTTATTCCTCACTAGGGTCATAGGGGGCTGGAGTCTATCCCAGCTGACTTAGGGCGACAGACAACCAAGCACACTCACATTCACACCTACGGATAATTTAGAATCACTAATTAAACCTCAACATGTTTTTAAACCCGGAGAGAACCCACACTGCACAGGGAGAACATGCAAACTCCACACAGAAAGATCCCGGGTGTCCTCACCGGGACACGAACCAGCGACCTTCTCGCTGCGAGGCAACAGTGCTAACCACCGAGCCACCTTGCATTTAAGAGCCATGCTACATTTATTCTGTTGATCAAATATGTTTTATGTTCCTCTCAGTCTCTCTCATTGTCTCATCACTGCTCAGAGTAAACACAGCCTGCAGTTCACCAAAAGACTCTCAGACATGTTGTTACATGATTGTTGCAGCTGGATCACTCCTGATTTTTATGCTGTATTTAGGATCACAGATTATTTTTGCTTTTTGAATGATCTGATGCAAACACAATAACTTTAGGATGTTTTTAAACACAACAAAAAAAGTGACTGTGATTATATTTTAGAATTTTAAGCTATTCTTTATTTTTCATCATGAAACTGCACAAAAACTTGAAAAGACTAGGCTTTTTCTGTTTTTACAATTTAAAAAAAAACAAAACAAAAAAAAAACTGATGTCATTTCTTTTTAATAATTTCTTTCTGGGTTAATGGAGTTCTTTCTCACCATATTTCATCTTTTAAACCCATCAACAGGTTTTGGGATTTGGAGGTTTAAGACAAAATTGAAATGTGCTTCTATCCCTTTGCCAGTATACTGAAAAAGGGATACAGTCACACACGCCCTTAATAGCTTCCTTGTGGTTAAACAGGTGTATCAACAAAAAACAGCCTTGCTAGGATTATCAAAGGTTCTTTGGTGGAAAAAAACTGTCAAATCCATTGTAAGTGAAGTCTCTCTTCTGTTTACAGATCACTGCGTCCCAGCTGGCTGTTGAGTTCGATGATGGGTTTCTGGCAGCCAGTGACTAACCTTAGAGAATATGTGTCCCAGAATCCTCCAGGAACAACTTTTTTCCTGTGTTTGTTGACTCTCGCGATCTCATTCATCTGCCTCAGCTCTTACAGCTCCACTCACACTCTGCCTAACCCTGACACAACAAAGGTAAGGACTCACTAAATGGAATTCATTTTGGAGATTAAAAGATATTTTAGAAAACTTTGTGAGATTTGGATTGTGGTGATGTTGCAGTGTGACATTGGAGATGTTGTGCGGCTATGGCTGAATGTATGCATGCATTTCTGTGGCTGTATTTCTGCATAATTTATATGCTTTGTTCTTCCTGCAGGACTGGAACCATCTACTGTCTGCCTTATCACAATTCCAGCTGTGTGTGACAGGAAATACAAGTTCATCTGAGCTTGTTTCCTCAGTTTCCTCACCTCTGATGGAGCAGGAAAAGGACAGAAGGACTTCCACCAACTCAACAAAGAGTCTTTCTCCCATCACCCATTTGCGTCTCAAGGTTCCTCTGACTGTGACCTCCAGTTCACCAGGCAGCTCGCTAAAAGACCTCAGTCTACATGTCACCTTCAATGCCAGTCAGCTACAACTTGGAGGTCGGTTTTGCAGTGGAGTGGTTTTGGTGTAAATTATTGTAAAAGTTTGTTTAACCATACATTCTCATTGAAATTATTTTACTCTCTAGGCAAAAAACGTGTTAATTTGACACTAGAGTCTCTGTCTGGAGACAATGCCCACACCTGCCTCACCATAAGTGCCCCAACACACCTCGTGCCCATGAGTCGGTTAGTTCAATCACACTGGAAAGTGTGTTCCTAAGCTTTGTTAATTTAAATCACCTAAAAAGCATCTTTGCCAAATCATGTATGTATCGTTTTTCTCTGTTTTTATGGACATGCTTTACATTTTAATAAAGGCTGCCTCCTGAGTGCCCTGCATCAGAGAAAATTATTTCACCCATCCGTGTGGAAGCAAGTAACGAGATACCTGCAGCATCACAAGCCTGCTACAGTCTGCACTCCAAGAACGATCCTACACTTACAGTCATGTTAACACGGGTACAGTTAGCCACTCATGAATAACATTAGCAACTTGCTCAGCCACAATAAAGAGGGTTTTGTTTTTTTTCACCATTTCAATGATTCTGTCCTTTTTTTCATTAGGAGGAGCAGAGGGTGGCAGTGCGACATCTTTTGGAAGTCAGTGGGTGTCTGCTCGCAGTTTGTTTGATGCTCTGTTTAGCTGCTGGTTTGACACATTCACTCACACGCCGCAACCAGTGGAACGGACTGGACATACAAAACGTAACTGTCATTTCTTATATTACTAAAGCACTGATAGTTTTGATAGTTCGTCTGTTTGCTTTAAACACTATTTTTTTGCGGACCGCATCTGGACTTCTTAGCATGTTGTGAAATGTGCAGACTGTTTAACTTAAACATCCTCCTTTACTCCTTATCCGCAGGAGCCCTTGCTTCACACCTGAATGTTTTTCATTCTCTGCATCCTGAAGACGGCGGTTGAAAGAGAGCGATATGTAATCACCAGTTTTACAAAAGAGTCCAGGTTACACATTGTGGGGAGTACAACTCAATTTGTGGAAACAGTGTTAGAATGTTTTCTGTTACTGTAGAGGAAGTTCTCACGTCTGAGAAATGAACCCTGGTGATGTCAACAAAGTTAAAGAATGTGATGGGAACAACTCTTCAGGTAATGCCTGTACAGATGTCTGTTATGTGGCGTGTATTCCAGGAGTTACTTGCCTTCTGTTGAACTGCCTTGTCTACTTGAGTTCCCATATTTCCCAAAGTTACTCTCAATAATTTGTAGAACATGGACAATAATATTTTTCATTCAACCAAGTGAGAGCTTAATATATTAAGATAAAGTGTTTTTCCTGTTAAATATGTAAATCTAATATTTTTTTAGCAGTGAATGTGGACGTGTAATGTACTGCGTTACTATCCTCAGATGTTTTTTCCTCATGAATTTATGGGACCAAAGGTCGCTGGGTGTTCCAGGCAACTTTGATAGTCTGTTTTACTGCTTCAGTGTACATATCTGATTTTATAAGCTCATTGAAACCAGACGTGGCATCAACAGATACACGGTGTAAGCATTCTGATGGCCACCTTCACCCACTGACATAAATACTCACTTGCGTAGCTGTAGAGAACTTAAGCCGCAAGTGTTAAAGAAACACTGAAATTTAAAAAACGGGTTATAATGTATCTTAATACTTCTGTGATACACGCCATTTCTGATCTTTGTTCAATAACAGAAACCTAACAGGACATGAAGCACAGTCAAGTGTGTGCATGGAAATGATCCGTGTGAACTGCTGAGTTTTATGCAGCTCAGGAACAGACGACTGTTCTACCTTGCTTTAGTAGGAATAAAACATTCATAGTGAAAACTAATAACTTGGTTTCTATTGTGATTTTAATGGGGGGGTTAAGTGTCTTTGTCTTGGAGTTTCTTTTTTGTGACAAATCCCTGTGTCATTTTTCGTTCTCTGGTGTGGCAAATCTTTTTGTCTTCCCCTGATGCAACACTACAACTGGTTTAAAAAACATAAAAATCCCACTTACTCATATGAATGACAGTGAATGATTCATCAGAAAACTCGAGAAAATTACAAGTTGGGTGAAATCGTTTTTTAATGGAACCCAAGACCAGAAATGAAAGGGGGATTTCTGTTGTGTCCAGTCATTGTTATTTATATAATCATTTAAAGCAACAGCTACTGAGCCAAAGTGCTTTCCATTAGAGTAAATATTGCCATAAGGAATTAACCTAAGAAATTTTATTATTGAGGTTAAGATCCTACAGTGTTATTTATGAAGTTAATTCAAATATTATTTTAATAAAAACTATTATAAACAATTACTTTAAATATTAAGAAATAAAACCCTGTAACAATTAAATAAAATATAAATTCACCTGACTATAATAAACATTAAGGCTAAGACTGTACAATATTGTTAATTATGGATATTACTCTAGCTATTCATTAAGATATTAAGGCTATTACCATACAGCATAATGAATTATGTAGATTAATTACACTAATTTAGAACTAAATGAAAAATTAAAACCAAATAACTCCAAAGGTTCCAGGGATTCTATATGAGCAAGCTTTCTTTATTTTTTATTTTAAAAAAAATCTGACTTATATTTATTATTATTCCATATACTATGTTATCCTATGATTTATATATTTATTTTAAAAGGCCAGATCAAATCAATTCTGACTTTTCTGACATTATTATTTAGAAATTGTAGATTATTTGGGTCTTTCTTATTTCTTGACTTCAGCAACTTGCAGAGACTTTGATGTTCAAATTGCTTACACTCAGTATGTAGTTTCTTAATTTTTAACCAATAAACTGAAATGTAAAATCAAGAACTGAACATTGATCAATAAAAGTTATGGTGCAGATGCTTTGAGACACTGATTAGAAAAAGAAAAACAGGCCTGTATGTCATATTGTGTCGGGAAACATGCTAACATTTTCCACAGTAAATCACGTCAATGTTTCTAATTCTACTCTGACTATAGGTTTCATTTTATGGACCAAAACATGCTTGTTAGTAATTAAATTCAATGAAGGGAGGGGCTGCCACAGACCGATGCACCGGTATGCTGCCCAGTACACGTAGAGAGACTTCTCCTCCAATCATCGTTAAGAAGCTTGACATGACGGCCTCCTATTGGCTGAGCGTGAAAACGTAGAGGCGGGATTTGTGCGGGGCAGAGGGAAACCAACGACGTCGAAGTGGTTGGATTCTTCGCGGCCTGGAGGACTGTTTCATGTCAGGGAGAAGAAAACGTAATGTTGCAAAGTATTTATTCCTCCTTGGACTAATTGTTGTCATAGCGCGAAGCAACTACAGCGTTTCCGTCATATGGAGACGGTCAGCAAAGTCGGTGAAAATTACTTGATACGGCTTAACGTTTCCACAGTGTGAAGCTAGCTAGCTACCGTTGGCTCACAAACATTCTGTAGAAGACGCTAAAGTCCGCTAGCTTGTAATGTTAGCCCAATGGTTAATGTTAGTAACCGTTTCTACATAACGTCTGAAATATTTAAGTGTGTTCTTTACCGGACATGACTTGGCATTTCTTCGAAGAAACCGAGCTAGGCCAGGAACTGACTTCTGCATACATATATACATGTTAATGCCTTCACAGCTAACACGGAGCCTAAGGGCGCTCTTTGCTCCAATTCATAACATTTTGTTGTTCCCAGCAGGCCTCCCACGTGGTACTTGGTGGTACCTTCACCTGCTGGGACACTTGTAATGAGGCGTAGGTGTCTCCTCTGACTTGTTGTAGAGTCCGCGTCAGATCATGTTACCTAATGCAGTGAGGGAGTTTGTGGGTAAATAAACACGTTCCATGACAGTTTTCCTTCCTTTTTAGAATGAAAGCTCTAAACTAGAGCCCAGGAAGAAGACAAACAGGATACCAGGAAATAAATTGGAAATAACTGAGAGGCCATGGCCTACTCCAGCTACAGCAGTCTGAGCAGGGCTCAGCTTACCTTTGAGTACCTGCACACAAATTCGTAAGTATCAGTTTCCTAATAAATACATGTGCTTCTGAATTCATTACTGCACAGATTTAAAATCTTGTTAGAATTAAAACTTGAATTGTAGCTAACAATGCAGACCACCAACTAAATATAGAAACAAGTTCACCATACCGGTTAATCCATGCACGTAATGTAAGGTGCATAGTTTGTACACATGATATAGATCACTGTATTATCTTTAACTACAATCCTGTTCCAACCTAAAAGGTTCTTTGAAAATAATAATTACGTTGAATCCTGTTCAACCTGATCATATGTTCAAAGGAGAGGAAACACTCCTTTCATTGTGTGCCACGCAGTATTTATTACATATATTCCTTTCATCAACAATTGTTTCTCCTCTGTCTGCATGAACTCATTAGTGCTGTGTGAACCTTGTGGCATGCATCACTTGTTTTTCATGTCTGAACACTACTGGTGTATATTATGTGTGGTATGGAAATGATGTACTTACAACACCGGGGTTAGAACCTTGTCATGCTTGTGGTTTTCAAGGCTTTTCCATCATTGCTTGTGCACTGCTGAAGTGAAGTGAAGACAGGGGTCCCTTGTCATTGCTACAATGGAAATTCAAGATTTTCTCACAATGTAGTTCAGCTCAACCTGTCGGTGCATACTTGAACATGCAGGGTTTAAACAAGTTAACGCAGATGATATCAGACCTAGCCTCATTTCCAAATCCACTGCTTAGGGATTATGCACAGGTCCAGGAAGGATTTAACTACAAATGTAGGACTGAAACTATTAGTGCTAGATTTAGTCATTCAACCAAAAAAAAATAGCCGGTATTGTCCGTTGCTTTAACTGGGCATTTATCATTAAGTTTTTGATTGAGTGGACAATTAATCCCCCAGAAAACAAGTAATTGTTTAATGCGCTATAGTATACTCAGTGTAAGTGTAACTGGAATGAAGCAACCTCTCTGTTGTTGTTCAGTCATATCATGGTATTGTCAGGAAGTGGTAAAGGTGCTATGTACCATTTTGAGGATGAAAATAGATGGTAGGATAGTCTGTCTTTGAGTAGATGACAGAATAAGTGTTTGACTGGTAATCTATATTTACCTGACAATCCTCTGTTCTGGTTAAATTGACTCATACGTCTCAACAAACATAAGGAAAAATAGGTTGCATAACTGAGTAGCAACCCCACACTGAATATTATCGTTAAATTCTGATCCTGCTTTCTCAGATACATTGCCTTTCTCTTACCTGCTTGCTCTGTTAATTGTTGCTGCATTCATTTAATTGGTGTCCTGTTTGTAGGACAACCCACGAGTTCTTATTTGGAGCCTTGGCAGAGCTTGTGGACAATTCGAGGTACCAGGAATGATTTGCAACAGACTTTATAATTTCTCGCAGTTTATGCAACCGGGATAACTTACCCTGATGTCTTTCTTGTAGTAAACAAAAAGTCTCATATTTGCATTATTTCGTTCACAGAGATGCCAATGCCACACGGATAGACATCTACACAGGTATGTTTAAGAGTAATTTGGACAGTTTCAAATGCTGAAGCTTTTAAATTCATTCCTTGTTATCAATATCTGTCTTTTGCCTTTCTGTTAGAAAAAAGGCCAGATCTGCGGGGCGGCTACACGCTCTGTTTCCTGGATGATGGAATTGGCATGGACCCTAGTAAGTGCGACTTAAAAAAGGGAGAAACTTAAAACTAGTGTTTATGTCATAATTATGTAGGTCCATTGTGAGTTTTCAATGTGGTAATATGTTGTATGTATTCTGTGTGTTAAACAGTTTCTTTCTTTCTTTCTTTTTTTTTTTGATTAGATGAGGCAACCCATGTAATTCAGTTTGGAAAGTCAAGCAAACGATCTCCTGAGTCCACTCAGATCGGTCAGTATGGAAATGGACTGAAATCGTAAGTTCCTCATCCATTTCTTTTTAGATTATGTTTCTGCAGTTGATACAATCGTGCTTCAACGATTTGCATATTATTTATGTGTGTTTTGTTTCCACAGGGGCTCTATGCGTATCGGGAAAGACTTCATCTTGTTCACAAAAAAGGGAAACGCACTGACATGCCTTTTCTTATCGAGGACTTTCCATGAAGAGGAGGGACTCGATGAGGTCAGTCAGCTGTTAGAGCTATTCAGCACTGAATGCTGCTTTTACTAGGCATATATACGAGCACCAGACTACATTATTGCTAATTGGATATTACTGTTTGGATAAAATAATTACTAATTGGATATGTGTATTGATATTGATATGTATTGTGAGTGCACATAAACCACTGATGTATCTGCTCCAGAGCCGATGTAAATAAACAACATAGTTGTCTGTAGCTAAGACACTAATTCACATCAGCCAGTGACAAGCATGTACAACAGTTTCCGATCTCCACACACTGTCTAACTCACAAGCATATGTTTATTCGCGTTGTTTTTGAAATAGTTTGGTACAAAGAGGAGCTTTCTTAAATAGGAAGTGAAAACAACTCTGCCACCAATGAATACACTTCACATACCATAAGAAGGCATCAATTATATACCAAATGAATTATACACCAAATGATAGTTTTCAGTAACATATGGGAAATAAAAATAATAAATCTATCACAAACATAGTCGCATAGCATGTTGAAAATCCTAGGATTTAAATGTTTAAAACTTCCCCATGACTAAATGTCCTCAAGTCCCTCCCTAGTAAAATATATAAATGAATCAGCATCTAAGCTCTCAGAATCTGTGCAGCATTAATTTACACATATATAAAACAACACAATGAACACATCATGTTGGTAAATTTACCTGGTAATGTATGTGCATTTTCATACGTGTCCTTAACTGACTCACATTAGAC